AGGTATGGCTTTTTGGCTACAATTCTTCAAGAAGACCACTTCTGAACATACTTGTCTTGACAGTAGATGGGTGAATCTTGGTCCCAGTGGTTTCCTCCAGTTCTGTGCTGAAGGCACTGCTGGATATCTTCCGATGTGGAATGAAAGTGAGCATGATGTGTCTTCCATCTGCTGCAGTAAAGTTTCCTTGGCCGACCACTGCATCTATGCTTCTCAACATTGCTCAAGCGCTGCGCCTACGCTCCTCAAGGTTGCCCAACCACCGCATTTACGCTCCTCAACGTTGCCATAGTTCAATCGCTTAGCCTTGTTTCCACATGGGAGGTATGGCTTTTTGGCTGCAATTCTTCCATGAAGACCACTTCTGACCAGACTTCTCTTGACAGTAGATGGGTGAACTTGGGCCCCACAAATTTCTTTCAGGCACTGCTGGATATCTTCCGATGTGGAAGGGAAGTGAGCATGATGTTTCGTTCCATCTGCTGCAGTCTGCGTCTACGCTCCTCAACGTAGCCCAACTGCTGCGCCTACGCTCTCTCAACGTTGCCCAACCACAGACACTCATTACTGTTCCACTCCCCAGCCTTTTGGTGAATAAACTGCTTCGTGTTACAGCCAAAATATTTCACATTTTGACTCAGCAGTCCAGAGCCTGCTGCCAATATTCTGCACCCCGGTTCCTGTGTTTGCCTGCATAGTTGAGTCGCTTAGTTTTGTTTCCACATCAGAGATATGGATCTTCCAAGAAGACCACTTCTGGCCAGACTTCTCCAGACAGTAGATGGGTGTACCTGGCTTTCCACCAGTTCTGTGCTGATGGCACTGCTGGACATCTTCCAGATGCGGATGGGAAGTAAGCCTGAAGTGTCTTCCATCTGCCACATTAAATTTCCTTGGCCAACCACTGCATCTATGGTCCTCAACGTTACTCGACCACTGCGTCTACACTCAACATTGCCAGTTTCTTTGTGCTTCTTCAGAAGAGCTTGAGAACAGCACCTGCTGCTGCCATTATTCTGCACCCCCAGTTCTTTGTTTTGCATGCATAGGACGTGGAAACAAGGCTAAGCGACTCAACTATGCAGTACTGTACCTTGACCCTGCAGTTCAACTTTCATCTCTTTGGACGTTTTCCTTGGCTCCTTGTCTGCCGTTCATTCCATCATTCGGTTCAATCAGCTGATTTTCTTCTTGCGGCCATTTCCAGGGCAGTTGGCTGCAGTCCCAGGAACCTTTAATTACTCAAAGTTTATTGAATGCGCCTGCGAGTGTGAAAATGGATGGCAATGGTCACAATACAACTGAGTGTAGACTAGATGCAGTGCACATCAGTGTCTGACCTCACGATCCATCGCTTTTTGAGCGACAGTGGGGATCAAAAAAAAAGGTAGACATAGAAGGATTCCATTTTTTTAATTCAAAAAAGGCCCAACTTCATAAACACACATTGACAAGCCACAAAGAGTTTGGGAAAATGAGACAAACTGGAGTCAAAAGAGGAAAAAAAAACAAAAAACAAACCATACCTACTGTGAAACATGGAGGAGGTTATCTTTTACATCTGTTTTGCACGAGGTGCCATGAATCTGTGCAAACCTCAAAGACTACCAAGGAGCAATTCTGGAGTGAAATGTCATGGCCAATGCCAGAAAAGTCTGCCACAGGTCACGGATCCTCCAATAGGGAAATGACCCAAAACACAGCTAAAAGCATCCAAGAATGAGTAAAAGGACTAAAAACATTGACCTCCCATGAGCCCTAATCTGCAGACCATTGAACATCTGTGGAAAGAGTTAAAACATACAAGATGGCGGGAGCAGTATGCTCAATTAGAGTGGATCAAAGTGCCTGTGGGCAGGTGCAGAAGCCTCATTGGGAGCTACAGAAATCACCGGTTGCCTTGAAGGCCTCATGCACACTTGAGGTCATAGGTTTTTACAGGAGTTTCCCCTACAGGGACTCTCCCTCCCCTCATTGGCTGAAAAAAGCAGTGGGAGCCATCAGCATCAGCAAGAAAAAAAAAAAAAAAAAAAAAAAAAAAAAAAAAAGGGAGACGGGGGTGGAGCTGAGCCGCGGCTCTGTGCGTGAATGGACGCACAGAGCAGCGGCTCGGGAGCGAGCCTGCTTGGGTGCCCACATAGCAAGCTGCTTGCTCTTGGTGCATTTGGTGGTGGTGGAGCCAGGAGCGCCGGCCCCAAGAAGGGGAGGATCAGGCTGCTCTCTGCAAAACCACTACACGGAGCAGATATGTATGACATGCTTGGGGTTTTCCTTAAACTGCCTTTAATACCAAAATTTAAGACACGTGATGGGCAGGGAGGCTGTACAATCATGTGACCATTTAAAAAAAAAAAAAAAAAGGAAGGACACGTCTACACTCTTCAACGTTGCCCAACCACTGTATCAGCTGCAGACACTCATTGTAGCACTCTCCAGCCCCTTGGTCTACGCTCAACGTTGCCCGACCGCCGCCTCTACGCTCCTCAATGTTGCCCCACCGCCGCGCCTCTACGCTCCTCAACGCTGCCCCACCGCCTCTTCTACTACGCTCCCTCAACGCTGCCCCCACCGCCGCGTCTACGCTCCTCAACGCTGCCCCACGCCGCGTCTACGCCCCTCAACGCTGCCCAACCGCCGCGTCTACGCTCCTCAACGCTGCCCCACCGCCGCGTCTACGCTCCTCAACGCTGCCCCACCGCCGCGTCTACGCTCCTCAACGCTGCCCAACCGCCGCGTCTACGCTCCTCAACGCTGCCCCACCGCCGCGTCTACGCTCCTCAACGCTGCCCAACCGCTGCGTCTACGCTCCTCAACGTGCCCAACCGCCGCGTCTACGCTCCTCAACGTTGCCCAACCGCCGCGTCTACGCTCCTCAACGCTGCCCAACCGCCGCGTCTACGCTCCTCAACGGTGCCCAACCGCCGCGTCTACGCTCCTCAACGGTGCCCAACCGCCGCGTCTACGCTCCTCAACGTTGCCCAACCACTGCGTCTACGCTCCTCAACGTTGCCCAACCACCGCGTCTACGCTCAACAACGCCCAAACCGCCGCGTCTACGCTCCTCAACGTTGCCCAACCGCCGCGTCTACGCTCAACGTTGCCCAACCACTGCGTCTACGCTCCTCAACGTTGCCCAACCGCCGCGCGTCTACGCTCCTCAACGTTGCCCAACCACTGCGTCTACGCTCAACGTTGCCCAACCACTGCGTCTACGCTCAACGTTGCCCAACCACTGCGTCTACGCTCAACGTTGCCCAACCACCGCGTCTACGCTCAACGTTGCCCAACCGCCGCGTCTACGCTCAACGTTGCCCAACCACTGCGTCTACGCTCCTCAACGTTGCCCAACCACTGCGTCTACGCTCCTCAACGTTACCCAACCGCCACATCTACGCTCAACGGTGCCCAACCGCCACGTCTATGCTCCTCAAACGTTGCCCAACCACCGCGTCTACGCTCAACGTTGCCCAACCGCCCGCGTCTACGCTCAACGTTGCCCAACCACCGCGTCTACGCTCAACGTTGCCCAACCGCCGCGTCTACGCTCAACGTTGCCCAACCACCGCGTCTACGCTCAACGTTGCCCAACCAACCACGCGTCTACGCTCAACGTTGCCCAACCACCGCGTCTACGCTCAACGTTGCCCAACCACCGCGTCTACGCTCAACGTTGCCCAACCACCGCGTCTACGCTCAACGTTGCCCAACCACCGCGTCTACGCTCAACGTTGCCCAACCACCGCGTCTACGCTCAACGTTGCCCAACCACCGCGTCTACGCTCAACGTTGCCCAACCACCGCGTCTACGCTCAACGTTGCCCAACCACCGCGTCTACGCTCAACGTTGCCCAACCGCGCGTCTACGCTCAACGTTGCCCAACCACCGCGTCTACGCTCAACGTTGCCCAACCACCCGCGTCTACGCTCAACGTTGCCCAACCTCCGCGTCTACGCTCAACGTTGCCCAACCACCGCGTCTACGCTCAACGTTGCCCAACCACCGCGTCTACGCTCAACGTTGCCCAACCACCGCGTCTACGCTCAACGTTGCCCAACCACCGCGTCTACGCTCAACGTTGCCCAACCACCCGCGTCTACGCTCAACGTTGCCCAACCACCGCGTCTACGCTCAACGTTGCCCAACCACCGCGTCTACGCTCAACGTTGCCCAACCACCGCGTCTACGCTCAACGTTGCCCAACCGCGCGTCTACGCTCAACGTTGCCCAACCACGCGCGTCTACGCTCAACGTTGCCCAACCGCCCGCGTCTACTGCGTCTAACGTTGCCAAACGCTCTACGCTCAACGTTACCCAAACGCTGCGTCTACGCTCCTCAACGTTACCCAAACGCCACATCTACGCTCCTCAACGTTACCCAAACGCCACAACTACGCTCCTCAAACAGTGCCCAACCACTAGAGTGCATACAGAGGAGTGTCTTCTCAAATACTTTAAAGTGTATGTAAACCCAACGTTTCCCTTTTTATCTGGTAAATATCACACGGCTTCAACAAAGCACCTTCAATGGTATAAGGGAAAAAAATACCCGTTGATCCTGCCAGAAACTGTCCTCTGTACTCCGTTCTCAGTGTTCTGAGACCTGCCAGTTATCTCCTCTATGAACTACAGAACACTTCCCCCCTCTTCTATCGCATCTAAAATAGTAGGAAGGTGTTCTGTAGGAAGGTGTTCTATCGTATCTAAAATATTAGGAAGGTGTTCTGTAGCTCCAATGCTTCCTGCCCTACAGTGACAACTCTGCCCCACAGATACAGTACAGATGATCAGCATTGCCACCACAGGACAGGAAATGTGCTACTGGCAGGATCAATAGGTGGGACAAAAGTGAAAAAAAAAAAAGAAAACAAAAAGAAGATTCTGCATCTAATGACTTTATCTGGTTTACAATTCTGTTCTAGGGGAGGAAAAAAAAAAAAAACAACACAAAAAGGAACTTGACTAAACCCCATTTCATTCTCCTTCATTTCTGAGCACTCACAGTTTATTGACGATTTTGATGATGATGTTGAGGTCCTGCAGCTGAGACAGGTTCTCTATGGGGTCGTCCACCTTCAGACTGTTCACCTGCAGGAGAGACAAACAGGGAGTTAGAATCATGCAGACCAGACTTCCTCCACCATGGTTCCTCCAGAGGTTGCTGGAGGTTCCTCGAGTAGTTTTTGCCTGTCAGGTAAGTAGCCAATGACACCAGCTGTCTTTTTAGCCGCCCCCCCAATGCATGGGGCGCTCTTCCCACCGGCCCCCCAATGCATGGGGCGCTCTTCCCACCGGCCCCCCAATGCATGGGGCGCTCTTCCCACCGGCCCCCCAATGCATGGGGCGCTCTTCCCACCGGCCCCCCAATGCATGGGGCGCTCTTCCCCACCGGCCCCCCAATGCATGGGGCGCTCTTCCCACCGGCCCCCCAATGCATGGGGCGCTCTTCCCACCGGCCCCCCAATGCATGGGGCGTTCTTCCACCGGCCCCCCAATGCATGGGGCGCTCTTCCCACCGGCCCCCCAATGCATGGGGTTCGTTCTTCCCACCGGCCCCCCAATGCATGGGGCGCTCTTCCCACCGGCCCCCCAATGCATGGGGCGTTCTCTTCCCACCGGCCCCCAATGCATGGGGCGTTCTTCCCACCGGCCCCCCAATGCATGGGGCGTTCTTCCCACCGGCCCCCCAATGCATGGGGCGTTCTTCCCACCGGCCCCCCAATGCATGGGGCGTTCTTCCCACCGGCCCCCCAATGCATGGGGCGTTCTTCCCACTGGCCCCCCAATGCATGGGGTATTCTTCCACCGGCCCCCCAATACATGGGGAATTCTTCCCACCGGCCCCCCAATACAAGCTTCCGATCGCCTAGACCAGTGGACTCCAAAACTATGGCCCTCCAGCTGTTGAAGTACTACAAGTCCCATCATGCCTCGGGAAGTCTTTCCTGTGGCGGTCAAGAGTCTTGCAAGGCCTCATGGTACTTGCAGTTCCTCAACACCTGGAGGGCCATAGTTTGGAGACCACTGGCTTAGGCGGTCAGAGCAAAAGTGGGAGCAGGTACCTGTCAAAATGGGGTACCCGCTACGTAAAAAGGTGCCAATTCTTCACAGGTAGCAGGGGACCAGCCCTTAAAAAAAAATGGAACTTCTCCTTTTGGGGATATTTTTTTTTAACCAGGGGCGTCCTACCTTGCCTCTGCTCTTCAATTGTGCCATTGTTAGGGACCTTCGATTCAACCGTTACCGTCACCACCGATTAATCTGTAGATGGTGAACATGGCTCTTCGTACTGGAGGTCCTTGAACCCCCTGTGTTGCCCTTTGCTGAACTCCAATTCAAACTCAACCTTCTTGGTGACCAAAACGAAGCTTCATACGGAGGCTGAACCAGAGGAGGTAAAAGCTTTGACTTGTCCCTCGAATAAATACCCTTTCAACGCAGGAGATTCATCGGCTGACTTGGTTGGCTGCCATCCGGCATTGCTGAATTTTGTACCCCAAAGCCTCTTTCCGTCACTACTCTCATCGGTGGAGGGACACCTAGTTGGTATTTGTAGGCCCATTATGAGCACAATTTTCTGTTTTTTTTTTTCAATATTTAACCTCAAAAGCAGCAGCCTATTTTATGAAGGTCGTCCTGCAAGAAAAATATTTCCCTGTATAATTTTGGTATCACCAACAAAACGCTGAAACAGAATTCTTCATTCAAACCGTAAACAGCAATTAAAAAGTTAAACAGCATTGGACCTAAAGCTGGACATAGTCGGATCGAAATTCGGCCAGGTCAGCAGGAAACGGGTGAATTGTGATCCATATGTGGCCACTATCGCTTCACAGAAGTCGATGTAATGATCAGCTTCTATCGAACGGGAATGTTGGAAAATGTTTCTTGATGAGACAGTGGAGGGTCTCAGGGGTCACAATACAATGTCCCAGCAGGGAAGGTTCTGAGTCTATCCACCTCACTTATGTGGATGGAGGAATCCATTTGCTGGCCAAACGGGGGAAAAAAAAACAAAAAAAATACAACACCACAAGTGTTTAGAGACCACTGATCTACATCTTCGAGAACTCCATTCTCAGCCACATGGGAACACCTAGACCTATTGCTTCCAGCTGAGATAAGTGGGTATCAGCAACAAATCGGGCCACTGCCGCAACGTGGGCGGAATCGCGCGCCACTGCCGGCGACCGTGGGCGGAATCGCGCGCCACTGCCGGCGACCGCGGGCGGAATCGCGCGCCACTGCCGGCGACCGCGGGCGGAATCGCGCGCCACTGCCGGCGACCGCGGCCGGCGAGCGGGCGGAATCGCGCGCCACTGCCGGCGACCGCGGGCGGAATCGCGCGCTCCACTGCCGGCGACCGCGGGCGGAATCGCGCGCCACTGCCGGCGACCGCGGGCGGAATCGCGCTCCACTGCCGGCGACCGCGGGCGGAATCGCGCGCCACTGCCGGCGACACAGCGGGAGGGGCGGAATCGCGCGCCACTGCCGGCGACCGCGCGGGCGGAATCGCGCTCCACTGCCGGCGACCGCGGGCGGAATCGCGCGCCCACTGCCGGCGACAGCGGGGCGGAATCGCGCTCCACTGCCGGCGACAGCGGGAGGAATCGCGCTCCACTGCCGGCGACAGCGGGAGGAATCGCGCTCCACTGCCGGCGACAGCGGGAGGAATCGCGCTCCACTGGGGGGTGCCGGCGACAGCGGGAGGAATCGCGCTCCACTGCCGGCGACAGCGGGAGGAATCGCGCTGCCACTGCCGGCGACAGCGGGAGGAATCGCGCTCCACTGCCGGCGACAGCGGGAGGAATCGCGCTCCACTGCCGGCGACAGCGGGAGGAATCGCGCTCCACTGCCGGCGACAGCGGGAGGAATCGCGCTCCACTGCCGGCGACAGCGGGAGGAATCGCGCTCCACTGCCGGCGACAGCGGGAGGAATCGCGCTCCACTGCCGGCGACAGCGGGAGGAATCGCGCTCCACTGCCGGAATCGCGACACTGCCGGCGACAGCGGGAGGAATCGCGCTCCACTGCCGGCGACAGCGGGAGGAATCGCGCTCCACTGCCGGCGACAGCGGGAGGAATCGCGCTCCACTGCCGGCGACAGCGGGAGGAATCGCGCTCCATTGCTGGTGACAGTGGGAGTAATGCATCCCTCTCTTTGGCGATAGGAGAAGAAATAGCGCCCCTCATCGGTGAAAGGAATAGTTCCCCGAGGGCTGTATAAAGGCAAGCAAAAGGCCACATCCAGCCCACAGGCCATAGTTTAGAGACCCCTGATCTACATCTTCGAGAACTCCATTCTCAGCCACATGGGAACACCTTGACCTATTGCTTCCAGCTGAGATAAGTGGGTATCAGCAACGTGGGGAGGAAACGCAGCCACGTCGCTGGCGTCCTTGGGGAGGAACCACGCCCCATAATTAAGGGCAGTGGGAAAATTAGTTCTCATCTCTGGTGTAAGTGGGAGGAATAGTACTCCATTGCTGGTGTCAGTGGGAGAAATAGTTCCCTCTTTGGTGATAGTGGAAGAAATAGCGCCCCACATCGGTGAAAGGAATAGTTCCCCAAGGGCTGGATAAAGGCAAGAAAAAGGCCACATCCGGCCCACAGGCCTTAGTTTAGAGACCACTGATCTAGATCTTCGAGAACTCCATTCTCAGCCACATGGGAACACCTTGAACTATTGCTTCCAGCTGAGATGAGAGCAACGTGAGGGATCGCCAGCCCCATATCGCTGGCGCATTTTCAGGGAGAAACCGCGGCCCCATCGCTGGCATCCATGGTCAAAGTTTAGAGACCACTGATCTAGATCTTCGAGACCTCCATTCTCAGCCACATGGGAACACCTTGACCTATTGCTTCCAGCTGAGATAAGTGGGGTACCAGCAACGTGGGGGAGGAGCCGCGGCCCAGTCGCTGGTGTCCGTGGCCAAAGTTTAGAGACCACTGATCTAGATCTTCGAGAACTCCATTCTCAGCCACATGGGAAATGGGAATACCTTGTTCTACTGTTTCCAGCTGAGATAAGTGGGTACCAGCAACATCTACAAGTCTTTCCCCCAAATCCAAGTCCAGCTGAAAAGCACCTAGAGATATCAAAATGTCCAACCTTCTGAAGGTACACAGCCAGCTCTATTCAGTAACATGGACAACCATCTTGCTCCAATAGGATTCCACAAATATATAATAAAAAAAAAAATATTGACGAGAATTGGACCACATGGGGACACTTCGATCTACGATCAATACCAAATGGACCTGGAGGAGAACATCATTCAACAGCTAGACTTAATGGCACATTCAGCTGGACTTGCTCTGTAACATTGGAGGTCATTTCGCTGCTCAACCAAGTGTCTTCCTCAGTAACAATGAATGTCAGGAAGTTACCCCCGTATTTACAGTGCCTTGAAAAAAGTCTTCACACCCTTGAAATGTCCCCCATGTTGTCATGTTACAATGTATTTATTGGGATTGGATGTGATGGACCGACACAAAGTGACACATAATTGCGAAGTGGAAGGAAATGAGAAAATGGTTTCCAACATTTGTGACCAATAAATCTGTGAAAAGTGTGGCGGCATTTGTATGCAGCCCCCCCGGAGTCAGTACTTTGTAGGACCCCCCTTTGGCTGCAATTCCAGCTGCAAGTCTTTTTGGGATGTCTCTTTGCACATCTAGAGAGGGACATTTCTGCCCGTTCTTCTTTGCGGAATCCCTCAAGCTGTCAGATTGGATGGAGAGCGTCTGGGAACAGCAATTTTCAGGTCTGGCCACAGATTCTCCATTGTATTCGGGTCTGGACTGTGACTGGGCCATTCTAACACATGAAGATGCTTTGATCGGAACCCTTCCATTGTAGCTCTGGCTGGATGTTTCCGGTCGTTGTCCTGCTGGAAGGGGAACCTCCGCCCCGGTCTCAAGTGTTTTGCAGACTCTAAGAGGTTTTCTTCTAAGATTGCCCTGTATTTGGCTCCATCCATCTTCCCATCAACTCTGACCAGCTTCCCTGTCCCTGCTGAAGAAAAGCATCCCCACCACATGATGCTGCCACCACCATGTTTCAAGGTGGGGATGGTGTGTTCAGGAGGATGTGCAGTGTTTTCCACCACACATAGCATTTTGTTTTTAGGCTGTAAAGTTCCATTTTGGTGTCATCTGACCAGAGCCCCTTCTTCCACATGTTTGCTGTGTCACCCCCATGGCTTCTCACAAACTGCAAATGGGACTTCTTATGGCTTCCTTCTTGTCACTAACAAACAATGTTCCATAAAGGCCAGATTTGTGGAGTGCACGAGTAATAGTTGTCCTGAGGACAGATTCTCCCACCTGAGCTGTGATCTCTGCAGCTCCTCCAGGGTTCCCATGGGCCTCTTGGCTGCTTCTCTGATGAATGCTCTCCTTTCCCAGCCTGTCAGTTTAGGTGGACGGCCATGTCTTGGTAGGTTTGCAGTTGTCCCATACTTTTTCTATTTTCGGATGATGGATTGAAGAGTGCTCCGTGAGATGTTCAAAGCTTGGGAGATTCTTTTCATAACCTAACCCGGCTTTAAACTTCTCCACAACTTTATCCCTGACCCGTCTGGTGTGTTCCTTGGCCTTCATGACGATGTTTGTTCACTAATGTTCTCTAACAAACCTCTGAGGGCTTCACAGAACAGCTGTATTTATACTGAGATCAAATGCACACAGGGGGACTCTATTTACTAATTAGGTGACTTCTGAAGGCAATTGGTTCCACTAGATTTTTGTTAGGGGGATCAGAGTAAAAAGGGGCTGAATACAAATACACGCCACAATTTTCACATACTTATTTGTAAAAAAAAGTTTGAAAACAATTTCTCATATTCCTTCCACTTCACAATTATGTGCCACTTTGTCCTATCGTAAAACAATAATAAATCAGCACAGAGGAAAGTGTTTTCCATGGTTCCTGAAAACAGACATCCTGCCAAGATTATTATTAATTTTTTTTTTATTTATTCCGTGGAGGTGCGAAAAAAAAAAAAAACAAAAAACGTGCCAGTGCAAAACACAAAGAAGTACACTTAGGGGTGTGCTTTTAGTCCACCCCTGAAGGGGTAGGACCTCTACCCTGATTCCCCGGGGCGCAAGGCTCCTGACAGGGACAAAAGGTTTCCACATGGTCCCCCTAGCCCGGGTGTCGGCAACCCGCGGCTCCGGAGCCGCATGCGGCTCTTTTTCACCTTTCCTCCTGCGGCTCCGGAGCACACTGCCCACCAGGTGACAGGCAATAGGGTCGGCAAGCCGCGGCTCTTTTAATGCAGCTCTTCTATGTGCCGGGCGCCCGCTCCCCTCCCTCCCTCCTCCAAACATTGGCTGTCAGGATGTAGGCGGGGCAGCGTGACGAACTCCTCTCCTCTCACAGTCCGCCCTGAAGACCAGAACGGGAACACAGCTAGAGGAACGCGCGGAGCAAAGGTAAGTGAATTGACACGGGGGGATGAATTACTATAGGGGGGGATGAATTACTATGGGGGATGAATTACTATATGGGGGATGAATTACTATGGGGGATGAATTACTATATGGGGGATGAATTACTATGGGGGATGAATTACTATGGGGGTGAATTACTATATGGGGGATGAATTACTATAGGGGGGATGAATTACTTATATGAGTGGGATGATGAATTTACTAAATGGGGGATGAATTACTATATGGGGGGATATGAATTACTATATGGGGATGAATTACTATATGGGGGATGAATTACTATGGGGGATGAATTACTATAGGGGGATGAATTACTATAGGGGGGATGAATTACTATAGGGGGGATGAATTACTATATGGGGGATGAATTACTATATGGGGGATGAATTACTATATGGGGGATGAATTACTATATGGGGGATGAATTACTATAGGGGGGATGAATTGCTATAGGGGGGATGAATTGCTATAGGGGGGAAAATTACTATGGGGGATGAATTTCTATATGGGGGATGAATTACTATGGGGGGATGAATTACTATATGGGGGATGAATTACTATGGGGGATGAATTACTATATGGGGGAAGTGTATTTTCAGTTTTAAAAATGTTTCTCTCAAAATAAATTTCAATCGTGGTTTTGGCGAGATTTGGCTCAGTTGAAAAAAAAACGGTTGCCCACCACTGACCTAAGGCTATGATTGTGATTATGACGATACACTGTGGCCCTGATTAACCCTTTGCTTACTGGGCCCTTAAACCCCCTTCATGACCAGAGCGCTTTTCGCAATATATGCAGTGTCGGATTTGTTTTAAATGTTGCAATGGTTTTGCGGCTCCCAGTCTTTTTTTCCCTCTCGGAAACGGGTCCAAGTGGCTCTTTATGTCTTAAAGGTTGCAGACCCCTGCCCTAGCCAAAAGGCCTGGCGGACCCCTTTTCCTTGTGGCTAGCCGAACCCGGCCACCAGGAAGAGAGACCCCCCACAGGAACAGAGGAGGAAGGAACCTGATGACCACACAGCCTCCCCCTAGACTTCAGGGCAGGCCCAAGGACCCATACCCACCCAACCTAGTGAGAAAAAAAAAAAAAAAAACACACAAAAATTAAAGTTGACCAAACATGGGAGAAAAAAATATATAAATAGGCGGCCGTGCGATTATGCACTGGCTAGGCCCCGGGGCCCATAGCAAAAGACTAATTAGCCGTTTACAGCTGCCATCCAGGCTGAGGGTCTGGGGTCTACTGTGTTTTAAATTAAGATAAGAGGCTCTTTTATAGTTCGGTAAAAAACTTACAGCTACAAATTCCAGTTTTCGGGAGGAGGGGAGGAAGATTACTGCTCATGAAAAAAAAAAAAAAAAAAAAAAAAAAAAAAAAAAGGCTGTCGCCTACAGGTTCCATGTCCCTATTGCGCACAAATCGTTACAGTACGAATACTTTTTCAAGGCACTGTATATCCACACCGGTAACTCTTCTTCATCCAATCACCATGGAATGGGAAGATGTTGAAGGTCTGAAGAACAAGATGGGGTGATGTGAAAGTTGGGAAGCCAACCGTACGGCGCCCATGGGAAGCCAACCGTACGGCGCCCCATGGGAAGCCAACCTACCGTACGGCGCCCCCATGGGAAGCCAGCCAACCCTAAGGCGCCCCATGGGAAGCCAACCCTAACGGCGCCCCATGGGAAGCCAACCGTTATTGTTGGCTAAAGGTGCCAAATTGGTTGTCAAACCTCCAGCATAGACACACTAATTTCTGGGCAGTCAAACTTTAAAAAGCTGTGCAGACTGTGCCCAGTTTTATCAACAACTCTACAAAAAGCAGACTCAACGTTTAGTACTCACCCATGTGAACAAAGATTCCATTAATGTCCCTTGGAGCGCCATCTTCACCACCCAGCACGTTTGGCCCTACAAAACAAAACACAAGGTAAGTAGGCGAAAAAAAAAGCCAGAAATGGACAGACAGTGACCTCACTTTCTCAGGGTTGGGAAACCCCACTGGGGGGGGGGGGATTTCAAACAGGTAAAAAGGTCCACACAACAGGTTGGTTTCAGGCTGGATACATCCATCTGCCATTCATCTATTCATTATAAATGGGCTGCCAAGTTCATCTAATCCACCAGTCCAGGGGTGTCATACTGGCGGCCCTCCAGCTGTTGAGAAACTACAAGTCCCACCATGCCTCAGGCTTTGGGAGTCATGCTTGTAACTGTCAATCTTGTAATTCCTCATGGGACTTGTAGTTCTGAAACACAGGGGTGTCAAACTGGTGGCTCTCCAGCTGTTGCCAAACTACAAGTCCCATCATGCCTCTGCCTTTGGGAGTCATGCTTGTAACTGTCAACCTTGAAATGCCTCATGGGACTTGTAGTTCTGAAAATAGGGGTGTCAAACTGGCGGCTCTCCAGCTGTTGCGAAACTACAAGTCCCATCATGCCTCTGCCTTTGGGAGTCATGCTTGCAACTGTCAATCTTGCAATGCCTCATAGGACTTTGGCAACAGGGTCGCCAGTTTGACACCTGCGCTCTAGTCCATCCAACGCCTCCCTCTCCACAGGTGGACAATGCTGCTGTCCAATGGTGGCTACATTGTTCCTCCATAGATACAGTGGAGGAGTGAGCTTTGCTATCCTAGGACAGAAAGTGTTATTGGCGGGATCACCAGGTGAAAAGACTGAAAAACTAACGCCCCACCACATCTAGAAGTTTCACACGCGCAGATGTTTAGCAGCTTCTGTGTGCTGAGGCGTAAAATCTCTGGCGCTTTCCTGCCCATTCCACGTACAGCCGCCAATACAAGAGAATGGCTGTACGCGCCCATGACTGGCGTTTGGAAGAAACGCCTTACATCCAGGTAAACCGTCAATGCGGAAGTAATCGGCTTATATCTGAGGTCAGCCATTCGCTTGTACTGGCGGCTGTGCGCGGCACGCGCCCCTTCCCGAGTGCAGAAAACCTCCGAGGGTTTTACACTTTGGCACATACGAGGCCTAAGGTTCGGTAAGCTGCAGCAGATGAAATTTTTTTTTTCCTGGGCTTCGATGGACCAGATGCCCAAAAAAGAGTGGATCTGCTGCTGCCGCCACACCGTGTCTCACCGTAGAGCCTGGTGCTCAGACGTCTCCAAGGTGTGTAAGAGTTCCAGACACCCCTGTGAGGACAGCTGCCTCCTCTATAACCCCCAATTTACATATCTGCGTTCCTGTGGGCCGCGTTTTGTGTGGGCATGAGAGCCCATTCATTTGAATGGACTCCCGTGCCCTGGGCCACGCAGGGAGGTCCCTGCACTTCTTTGGAAACCGAAGCCCACACAGAAACAGAGGTTCCCAGTACGGTTGCGATTTCCAGTGCGGGTGGTTTCCCTTACTTCCTATGATGGCACCGGGAACCCGGAGGCTAGTGAAGAACTAGCCCGGGTGAGGACAGCGCTGGACCCCTGGACAGGTAAGTGTCCTTATTTAAAAGCCAGCACCTACAGTATTTGTAGCCACTGACTTTGAACATTTCTTTTTTTGGGGGGAGCTCCCCTTTAATGCACTGGTTCCCAACCTCTCCAGCACCAGCCTTGCAAAAGACAACCTTGGGGGGGGGGGGGGATGCGAAGAGACGATCATGGCACTCTCTCTCTCTTCAATGGCTCAACCACAGCCAGTGGGGGGGGGGCAGAGGATGGATCGGAACCGATGATCATGGCACTGATGATCAGTGCCCAGCAGTGCCACCCAGCAGTGCCCATCAGTTTCCACCTATCACGGGTCCCATGAGGTTATGGGACCATTCATAGGGCATGGCGAAGCTCGCGCATGCACAGTGGGGAGCCGCAAGGAGCTCAGCGCTTTACAATATAACAGGAGACAATACAGCAACAATACAGTTCAATACAAGAGGGTTAGGAGGGCCCTGATCCTTGGAGCTTACAATCTAAGAGGGAGGGGGGCTGGTGGTACAAAAGGTAATAACCATGTGGGATGGACTGATGGACGAAATGGAAGATTCCATTATTAGCTGAGGGCAGGATAGGCTTCCCTGTAGAGATAGGTTTTCAGAGATCGCCTAAAAGTGTGAAGAGCGGTCGATAGTCTGATTCATTGGGCTAGAGAGTTCCAGAGGACAGGAGAGGCTCTGGAGAAGTCCTGGAGACGAGCATGGGAGGAGACAAGGGAGCTGGAGAGCAGGATGAGTTGTTTGGGTGATATCTGGAGACAAGATTGGTGATGCAATTTTGGGGCGGAGGGAGGGGGGGGGGGGGGGGGGGGGGGGGGGGGGGGGGGGGGGGGGGGGGGGGGGGGGGGGGGGGGGGGGGGGGGGGGGGGGGGGGGGGGGGGGGGGGGGGGGGGGGGGGGGGGGGGGGGGGGGGGGGGGGGGGGGGGGGGGGGGGGGGGGGGGGGGGGGGGGGGGGGGGGGGGGGGGGGGGGGGGGGGGGGGGGGGGGGGGGGGGGGGGGGGGGGGGGGGGGGGGGGGGGGGGGGGGGGGGGGGGGGGGGGGGGGGGGGGGGGGGGGGGGGGGGGGGGGGGGGGGGGGGGGGGGGGGGGGGGGGGGGGGGGGGGGGGGGGGGGGGGGGGGGGGGGGGGGGGGGGGGGGGGGGGGGGGGGGGGGGGGGGGGGGGGGGGGGGGGGGGGGGGGGGGGGGGGGGGGGGGGGGGGGGGGGGGGGGGGGGGGGGGGGGGGGGGGGGGGGGGGGGGGGGGGGGGGGGGGGGGGGGGGGGGGGGGGGGGGGGGGGGGGGGGGGGGGGGGGGGGGGGGGGGGGGGGGGGGGGGGGGGGGGGGGGGGGGGGGGGGGGGGGGGGGGGGGGGGGGGGGGGGGGGGGGGGGGGGGGGGGGGGGGGGGGGGGGGGGGGGGGGGGGGGGGGGGGGGGGGGGGGGGGGGGGGGGGGGGGGGGGGGGGGGGGGGGGGGGGGGGGGGGGGGGGGGGGGGGGGGGGGGGGGGGGGGGGGGGGGGGGGGGGGGGGGGGGGGGGGGGGGGGGGGGGGGGGGGGGGGGGGGGGGGGGGGGGGGGGGGGGGGGGGGGGGGGGGGGGGGGGGGGGGGGGGGGGGGGGGGGGGGGGGGGGGGGGGGGGGGGGGGGGGGGGGGGGGGGGGGGGGGGGGGGGGGGGGGGGGGGGGGGGGGGGGGGGGGGGGGGGGGGGGGGGGGGGGGGGGGGGGGGGGGGGGGGGGGGGGGGGGGGGGGGGGGGGGGGGGGGGGGGGGGGGGGGGGGGGGGGGGGGGGGGGGGGGGGGGGGGGGGGGGGGGGGGGGGGGGGGGGGGGGGGGGGGGGGGGGGGGGGGGGGGGGGGGGGGGGGGGGGGGGGGGGGGGGGGGGGGGGGGGGGGGGGGGGGGGGGGGGGGGGGGGGGGGGGGGGGGGGGGGGGGGGGGGGGGGGGGGGGGGGGGGGGGGGGGGGGGGGGGGGGGGGGGGGGGGGGGGGGGGGGGGGGGGGGGGGGGGGGGGGGGGGGGGGGGGGGGGGGGGGGGGGGGGGGGGGGGGGGGGGGGGGGGGGGGGGGGGGGGGGGGGGGGGGGGGGGGGGGGGGGGGGGGGGGGGGGGGGGGGGGGGGGGGGGGGGGGGGGGGGGGGGGGGGGGGGGGGGGGGGGGGGGGGGGGGGGGGGGGGGGGGGGGGGGGGGGGGGGGGGGGGGGGGGGGGGGGGGGGGGGGGGGGGGGGGGGGGGGGGGGGGGGGGGGGGGGGGGGGGGGGGGGGGGGGGGGGGGGGGGGGGGGGGGGGGGGGGGGGGGGGGGGGGGGGGGGGGGGGGGGGGGGGGGGGGGGGGGGGGGGGGGGGGGGGGGGGGGGGGGGGGGGGGGGGGGGGGGGGGGGGGGGGGGGGGGGGGGGGGGGGGGGGGGGGGGGGGGGGGGGGGGGGGGGGGGGGGGGGGGGGGGGGGGGGGGGGGGGGGGGGGGGGGGGGGGGGGGGGGTGGGGGGGGGGGGGGGGGGGGGGGGGGGGGGGGGGGGGGGGGGGGGGGGGGGGGGGGGGGGGGGGGGGGGGGGGGGGGGGGGGGGGGGGGGGGGGGGGGGGGTGGGGGGGGGGGGGGGGGGGGGGGGGGGGGGGGGGGGGGGGGGGGGGGGGGGGGGGGGGGGGGGGGGGGGGGGGGGGGGGGGGGGGGGGGGGGGGGGGGGGGGGGGGGGGGGGGGGGGGGGGGGGGGGGGGGGGGGGGGGGGGGGGGGGGGGGGGGGATGGATTCAAGACTCTTCATACTTAAAAAGCGATTGTAAATGCTCGATTTTTTTTTTTATGAAAATAACAAACATGATAAACTTCCCTGCCCTGTTTGCGCACACAGCAGGCCCGATCCTCCTCTTCTGGGGGGGGGGACCGGTGCTCCTGGCTTGCAATGGGGGCACTCATGCGTGCTTTGCTCCTGAGCCCCGCACTGTATAAAAACGGTGATAGGGGGGGGGGGGGGTGGAAATGCTCTCGATACCAGAAACCGATACTTTGCGCCAATACAAAATCGCACCGCAAAGATAAGCATTCGATATGAGGAGGGAATGCAATTCCTGTCCAAGTCACATGCGGTTTCCCCGCTGCTCCTGGGCTGGTGGTGGCCACACAGGAGCGGGAACCCTCCCTGCAGGCATCCCATGCTACAGCCGGCCATACACGGGTCAAATTCCAAAATAATTTTCATTCGAAATTCGCACCATTAGTGGGGGTCACAGAAACAGCCGATTTTCGTCGTGCCGCGACCGTCGATCGAATGTGAGCGATTGGGCATGTTGGAAATGTTTTGAAAACTGAACGAATTTCGAATCAACGATGGGAGAATCATGCGGGAAATATAAATGAGAAAGAAAAGAAATGAGCCATGACCTGGAAAGAAATGAAAATTCTTTTCCGTAGCAACACGAGGTAACATTGAAGGCTTGGTTGGATGAATTTCTAAATCAATGGTGGCGCCATCGGGTTACAAAAA